CCCCCCCCTCTCCATTTTTCCGTTGTGCGGTGTGACATCAGTGACCTGGTCGTTCCGGAGGGAGAGCTTGAGGTCAGCACCATGCGGTCAGGGGGATCGGGGGGGCAGAATGTGAACAAGGTGGAGACGGGGGTGAGAATGAAGCACATCCCCACGGGGATCGCGGTCAGGTGCACGCAGGAGAGGTCACAGATGCTCAACAAGGAGCTGGCGCTGAACATGCTCAAGGAGAAGCTGGTGGTGGTGATGCAAGAGCAGCAGACCAAGGATCTCGCCGAGATCAGGTGTGGGGTGGGGCAACAGTTGGGGGTGGACTGAGGGAGGGCTAACAGCGCACATCGGCTCGTTGTCTTGGTCTTGTGTAGAAGGGAAAACCCTTTGGAGGCGTCCTCTCATCCGTTGGCCTCCTTTCGTCCGTTGGCCAAGGCGTTTGTTGTGTTTGATCACATTGGTGCAACTGGCACACCTCTACGACTACCCAACGATTTGTCGTATTTAATTGCTTACTTGCTGCGGATTCCTCCTCTTAACCGGTAGATCCTTCGCCGTGTTTTGTCCTTCTAATTGAAGCATTTAGCTGCGGCTCAGAAGCTAATCACACAGGGTATGTCATCTCTCTCAGGTCCCATGACTCTTGCGGAAGGCAGCCAACTGCCGTCGTTTCCTTGACGTTGGAAGCTTCAAGGTCTCGCAGCTCCTTCCCTCCATGTGTTTCTCGGCCACCGAAGTTACTGCGTTTGTTTATTCACTGCTATCAGTTGTAATGGAAAAATTACCGTATTGGTAATGGAGGGAGGCGCGCCGGGGGGGGGGGGGGGGNGGGGGGGGGGGGGGGGGGGGGGGGGGGGGGGGGGGGGGGGGGGGCGCTCGAGGTAACGCTGCCTTCTTGTCAACCCCGTTTAGCTCCACCGGTTCCGTCGCACGCTCCTCTTTCTGCCCTGTCTGAACCCACCGGTCATCGACATCGGTCCTTCCCCCCCCCCGTTAACCGACAACGTTTCGCCTTTTGTTCTCAAGAGGGGACATGGTGGAGGCTAGCTGGGGGCAACAGATCCGCAACTACGTGTTCCACCCCTACAAGCTTGTCAAGGACACGCGCACGGGAGCGGAGACCGTGCAAGTGCAGGACGTCATGGACGGGGATCTGGACGCCCTGATCGAGGCGTACCTTCGGCACGCCAGGGGGCTCGTGGGCGCCGAAGAAGTGGGTGGTGATGGAGCAGCAGCGGCAGCAGAATCTTCAGCGGCGTCAGCGTCTTGATGAAGTCAAGGGCGGGTCCTGACTCGGAAATTCGTACACGGGCGTTGAATGCTGGAGTACCGAGACTTGATGGATCCAACGGGTTGTTTGTTTGTTCGGCAGAAACGATGTCTTTTTTTTGTTTTGTTTCTTCGGGGAGGCTGACGGGGCAAGCCCCGGCGACCTCACACGACACCCGTCTTTGCTGCAGTTCAGCACGCACAGAAAGCGTGTCCGAAAATCGACAGCGTGCAGATACCATCATCGCACGGTCATCAACGCTGACGAGAGGAGATCAAGGCGCGTGACCCGTTGGGGTTACCGATTTGTCTTACCGGGCCTTTGTCCACGGCTATCCCTTATGGCATTTGAGTGTACTACCACCGCTGATGCTAAGAGGATCGAATCTCGGTTTTCCTGTCAGTCAAGCATGCAGGCCAAAAAAGTGGTCTGTCGAAAGGGAGCGTACGACAGCGTCCACGGTATTTTGTGACCAACGCACAACGTTCCAATGTCTGAAAGGGTTGTCTGCCTACAGTTACTTGATCGGTTATGTGCTTAGTAAACCCGTGCGTGCGGCATCATGTAGACCATTTTCCGCTAGAAGCACACCGCAAACTATTACACGCACACGAATAGGGCACTCTCGAGAGCAAAGGTGAGCGGTATTGAGCTTGAGTCAAAAGCAAAATGCTTGGAAGTACTTTTTGTGTATGTGTCCTTGGTCTTTGCCTGTTTCCTTTTGACACGGTCATCACTCGTTACACAGACGGCTCTGTTCTGTGGTCTACCCAATAAGTTCCGGTGTTTTACGATGAGCTCCGATCCGGGGCCACAAGGGCAGGAAGATGGTGTATTGCGTCGTGGCTATTTTGTTGCACAAGAAATGTGCCCAGCAATGTTTGCGCTCAAATTGTGTTTTTGATCACGGGGTTCATCTGTGGGATGGGAAAGACACTAGTCTCTGTAGTTTACCCACAGCACGTACACACTCCGAACTCACTTTTCAAGACGTTTTCGTCTCGTGTGTTTCCTTCTAGAAGCACTGCCAATTAAATGCAGCAGTTCTTTAGTAATTGCAAGTGTTTCTACAGCAGCAGTAGTAGACTAGTAGTATTTCATGTCCATGTTCCCTTCCGAACACAGGCTTTCTGTTTTCCTCCTTGTGAGAAGTGCTTAGCCTACTGCCCAAGCTCCGACGCGCACGCGAGATGCTACCCCACACCCTACACGCGCTTGGCCCTGAATTTCTGCCCAGACAAGTCCCGCAAAAAAAAGACCAAGAGGCGTTTTCTGCCGTTACTTTCTTAAAAATATATTTCTCCGCCGACGAAATTTTGATTGTCGTCAGGTCATCGGCACCCGTCTGCCGCAGTGTCAATACAACTGGTTGCGTGACATGGCCAATGAGGTTTCATACCGTCAGGTCGGCCGAGAAAAGGGCCACGTGCCGCCCCCGAGACTCAAGGGTAACGGGGTGCAGCGACAAGGCGAGCGGGATGCCTTTGGGGCAAGAACTGAGCGATTTTCAAAGCTCACGGTACGGGTTCTTGCTGTGTGTTGGGCTTACTTTAGCCCAGTCATACTGATAGAATGTTTTGATTCCTTCCCTCTTGGCCATCGGCCATTGCACGCTGAGATTATTACAACTAATTAACCCTACAACGACCGGTGTGCGAAGGTAGCACACGATACGTTCCCTGTTTCAAATCATATCTATCTTCACTTACCAGGTGAGACTACAGCAGCACCAGCAGTCAGTGTACCACAGCATGTTGTGACCGTTGTTTGCTGGATCGGATGTTCGCGTAGTAGAGAACTGCTGTGCTGCGTAGTTATAGAATACTTACCCAGCTGTGAAACAGCTTGAATTCCCTATTAATTTTTCAGAGCTTCCTACGAGCTTGTACGTGGCGAACTAGGGTAGACAAGTGGCCAACCGAAGTACACGTATGTCTCGCTCAATGTACACTACAATAAGAGATATATCACTGGTACCCAGCCTACTTTCGACCTTCAACACGAAACCAGGTTATTCACTCAGCTCTGGCTCACCGCCTCACTCCGCACTATCTACCACAGAACGACGTGCCTCCGCCTGGAGCGTACTACCGGCGGTCAACCCTTGAAAGGGACGGGAACGTCTGTGGCTCGGTCTCCGCCAAGGGTTACGGGACTGGTTTCCTTTCCAATGCACCGCGCTTCAAAGACTTGAACACGCTTCAGCAGGCCTATCTTCCCGGCCCTGGATCGTATACGATTCCGGCGGAGGGTGTACAGGAAGGAACCAAACTGACGTCATTTTCGAGCTTGAAACGGGTGAGGTACTTTGAACAAAATAGCATGCAAAGGCTGTCTCGTCGAGTAGCTGTACATGTAGACTACACATGTCTGGGAGTCTAAAGAGATAGAGCTCAGACTGTGGTACAATCTCGGTGGTGAGAGCAACAGCACAAGACGGTCAGATTTGAACGGACGTCAGACGCGGAAAGTATTTTCTATGAGTCTAGCGTACGAGAACGCAAGTCAAGAACGCCAGCGCCATCGTGGCCTTGCCCTTCTCTGTGGTCGCTGCTTTTGAATAGACCCTTGGTTGTGCTCCCACGGAACGTTTCTCAAGCAAAATGAAGACATTTTCTCGCTCGACCACCCGCTGGGGCTTGAGCATTACATGCATGTAGACAGCAGAAGTCGTTCCGCACTGACCCCAAGTGACGCAGATGCCTTCCGTGGTCACAGGCTAGCCAGGCATGCTTACCTTTCGTCACACCCATACAACACACAGGATTGCGGGTTCGCGCAGGATCATCTTGGAATCGTCCCTGGACCAGGCGAGTACAACACCGACCGCGGCAACAGAAACAACACCGCCAACAAGAATCGAGCTGGCGCACCGAATCCAACGTCCTCGTTCCTCTGCGCAAGAACGCCCCTAAACGTGGGCACCCACCTGGAGACACCGGCGCCAGGCACCTACGAGCTGCTCCCCACGCAGCATTCGCATGTCGACAAGAGCGGGAACGTCCTCAAAGACCCGTTCTTCAGGTCACAGACCAGAAGAAACGCCTCTTTTATTGCCGCAAGCGATGTCCCCGGGCCCGGGGAGTACGACGTAGATAGAGGCGTGGCCAACTCGACCGAGGCGTTTGGGTCGGGCGGGGGAAAGGGTAGCGGGGCCGGTGGACGGCCTAGTCAACAGCTTCGCCGGGGCGGCGGCGGACGCGTTAATGAGGAGGAAGAGGTGACCCCGGGTGAGGTTTAACGAAAAAGCCTCTTCGCATGATCCAACTTTGGGTGGACTCTGTCCAGACGTTGGTCGATCCTACTGAGCCTGACGAAAGACAAAGCGTATCCATCCAATTATGAAGATTTACTTGACCTATTGCCCGCATGTCATTCAGCCGACAGTGAACTTGTGCGCGCCGTTGGTTGTGGAATTGGTGCTTGTTTTATTTTTCAATTGCACAGGACCTGGCTGGTACACGCCGCACCAAACAAAGGCGCCGGAGAGGTTTTCGTCTTCTTCCAGCATGTTTCGCTCTGGGACGAAACGGTTTGCGGGGATTGGGCCGCCGGGTGCGCCGGGACCGGCGTTTTACCAGCCCGAGCCTTTGGGGAAAAAATCATTCCGTTGGAATGCCACCAAGCAATGGGTCTGAAGTGCTCAATGCGTATTGGACAATTGGGTTTTGATGGCGTGCGCCGCTTGGTATGATAGCGGCATGTGTTGGGTTGGATGGATTTGCATGGTGCGGCTGGACACGTCGAAATCCCTGGCTCTAGTTTTACCACTTAAGCGTAATTTGACCAAGTCTCAGGTTTGTAGCTCGTTGTAGTGTTTCACTGTACATCACGGTGCTTGATATTGATCTCACGTGGAGCGAGCTAAGTGTCCTAACGAGATGACTAGACCTCTTGGCAGGGGTTGGGAAGAGTCGCGTCACCCGTGCGGAGCGAAAAGGTGTACAACCTATCCTCCATCAAATTGCCATCCAGTCCACCAACAACGTGTTTGGATGTATTTCTCTTTCGGTAGCAATCCCTGAACGAAGACCCACTTGTTTATTAATCGCTTTGGTAGCCGTAGTTGTTGGTTTTCTCCTTGTTTAGTAGACCGAACCTCCAAGGGGGTAGTCCCCCCAGCAGGGGGGCGCCGTATAAGACGCATTGCCTCAAATAATATCCCAGGGAGGTAAAGCCCCCGCCACAACCCGTCATTTCCTTGGTTTCAAATGGCCGTGATATCTCATTCCCCGCCCTCGGGAATTCGGAAACACACCGCAGACGTTCTTAATAGACAAAAGCACGGGGCAGAACAAAAAAGCTGTCTATGCGTTCCTGGAAGAAATATTTCAACCAAATCGCACCAAGCAAAAGTTCGTTTGTTTGCTGTGCCTCTGTTTCGAGCAAATGTAATTTTCAAAGTCAAAAGTTCCCGGGAGAACGGCCAAAATAGGTCGTTGTCTAGGCACCTACTGCAACGACGACATGAGATTGGTTCTCCCCAAATCAACGAGGTCCGCACTCCACAGGTCCTTAGACAGGCAGGGCAAGTCCACCGCCAAAGAGTCCATCAATCGCTGGGGGCCTCGCCGAAGAAGCTCGCGAGCGCTGTCCCAGCTTACGCAACCGCCACCTTCTTGATACTTCCCTGCTGCTGCTACATGGCCACTCGAGGCAATCATGGTTGTAGCCGTTCCCAAGTTTGTCGTCCGAGAGGTCGTCGGTGCAAGGTGTACAAATTGTCGTTTCAGCCATCTGTACACCCGATCTTTTTCCTCCGTTGGGTCCTGTTGTGGTTTCGCACAGGTTTTCGCACAGGTCAAGGTTTGATGACGTCGAACGTTCGGGCAATCAGCAGAAGAGGAGGAGTGAGTGATATCCATGGGCTCCCTCTCCCAAGGTGTCTCAGCGAAAGAAGAGCGCATGTTGTTCACAGCAACGCACCAGAAGAACTTCAAATACAACCCCTGATTGGTCTAGCCACAGCAGCGTTTACTTTATCATAAACTTTGTTTTCATCCGATCCGCAACCAAACTTCACCGCTGAAGCCTTGAAGGTCTACAACTGGTGACGGTGCTTCCAAACTCTGCGCACTTCAACCCTTCCGGGCATTGTGGCGTTTTATATTGAGCCCCGGGCAATGGGAAAATTCTTCCTTACGATGTCTGCCTCCCTTACGTTTTTACTTTTCTGGTGGCAGTTTTCGTGACATGTTGTTGCGGTACGACGCATGTTAGCCCTCACCTCTGAGTCCTCATAGACGACATGCTTGGAGAGTATCGCCGCCATTTCGTTGCGCGTGATCGTGCAATCGTCCCTCGCCGTCGAGTAGGCCCGGAAGAGCAAGTCCAACACCTGGTCGAAGCTTCCTTCGTTGCAAACCACGCACATCCCCTTGACGTAGCGGTTGAACTGTTCCTTCGTGGTGTCACAGCCGCCTCCTTCTGCGGCTCCGTAGGACCCTTCATGCGGGAGTTTACGGCGCCACAATTCCCACGTGATGTAGGTTTGGCTTTCAAGAGGAGCAATGCATCTCAGGAGAACGCACAAAATAGTCTCTTGGTTAGCAGTGAGCTACAGTTGGTGTATAACCAAGAGGAATGACTAGGGACAACATATTGCCTAGATGAAAATGAAGTATAAAAGCTGTTGACTACACATATGACGTTAAACGTGTGCGGAAATGGAGGTGCATGGGATAACGATCACAGAGCGTAGTACCCGGAACACTTGGAACTTGTTGGACAGAATGTCATGTGGAATTCTTTGTCCCTACTACAATCGACCGCCCGATGGCAACACATTTATGCAAACCAGTCTTCTGTCAAATGGCGGGTTCGATCTCCCCACTCTCTGACGTGTCGCCCTGTCCCTACATCTCACCTGTTTTAGCCGCCTCGTCACGGCCGGCCATAGCCTTATGGGTAGCAGATGCTTGAGATAGAGCAAGGGCTTCGTTTCTGACGAGGGTCAGAAACAGACGCCGTTCCCGGCCTATCACTACCAAGAGCTGTTCCGACCGTTCCTGGAGCTGAAGGAGCCAGTTGAAGTGGTTGTATAGACGCAAGGCCTACTCAAAATGGAAGAGAAGAAAAATCGATATGTGTTCAATTTGTTGCGCCCAGTCGCATGGCTACTGCTGTAGCATACCCAGACCAAGAAATCGGAGCGTTGACACAGCAGTCCGCCGTGATTTTCAGAGTTGATTGCTCTCAGTTTTTTAGATTTCTTTCACCGTACCGCGTGTAGAGATGGATGCATGTTGGGAGTTAACTGTAGGCTCGTTATCTATCCACTTGACGTACTTTCTGGCACACGTGTCATCATCATCAGAAGACTGCCGGCTCCTGACAGTTGACAACGTAATGCCGTATGGTCAACTCGGAAGTCTACTCTGAGTGGGTGCTCGGTCCGGCACATGTATGGCTCACTCCCAACTGATGTCGGCATACTTGACCGCTGTTGCCATCCTCACCACGATTCGAGCGTCGTCGAAAGCCAGGCCGGACGCCTCTGCAATAAGCTTAATCTCCTCCCTGCACTCCCCTTTCTTCCAAGAGACCTTCACCCACTCCTCTTGCTCCAGCGCACTCAAGTCTCCTCCTGTTCGCGCCTCCGCCGGTTGTGTCTCTTGTGCTTCTGAATTCCACCGACCCTCGCCCTCTCGGCAACCCTCCTCGGGAGCGATGCACGAGCGGTGCACCGGAGACAATGGGCTGAAGGGCGGACGTTGTGCGCTGCCGGACAGAGTATACCGTCTCGTTCTTGATACATCTTTATCTTCCATTTGGTGTTTCTCGAGTCGTAGTCTTCAACCGTGAACGCTGCGCTGTCACGCATCAAATTTGCTGTCGTTCAGGTGGACGAAGGACACCTACTGCTGTACAGCGATGATACCTACAGCACATGCTACCTACAGCAATGCACGAGAGGTCTAGGCTTTGCAGGTAGCAACGAACGGCAGACAACAAACAAAATGCCCGAGAGAAGAGCGGAGCGTCCCAGCGGAGCAGAGAGAGAGCGGAGACTCTGCGGAGAGGAGAACAGCAGCGGAGTATGTAGCGGAGTAGCGAGCAGGTGCTCGCGAGAAGGCAGAGATTGTACCGCATAGGTCCGCCGAAAAAGTCAACAAGTCTGATCAGAACCCGCCGCATCAAGACGCCTTTCGCCTTCGTCTTCCGCCTTCCTGTGCATACGCTGGTTAACAGCAGTGGACATTAGACGCGCGACAACGAACACACCATGAGAATATTGGCTTCTTTCGTGGCGTTGCTGCTGAGGGCTCAAGGAGTTGCCGCGGTCAAAAGGATCCAAGGCTCGTTAAATGTGCATCTGGTGTGCCACACCCATGATGATGCCGGCTGGTTGAAGGTGAGGGTGGGTTGCCGGTTGATCGTGTTTATCTGTCCTAAATCTACAGGTAGCATTGCGAACGTATCGAGAGACAATGCAAACCCTTTCCCATTTCGTTCTCGAAGCGTGGGAAAACACACCAGACTCAAATACGACGTGGTCATTTTTCCCACCAAAGTCGCTCTAATATGTTCTTGTAGGTTACTTGAGCCTCGCAGGTGTTGTAGTTCGTTGCTTTTGTGGATCAGGCCCGTCAAGAGAGAATAGCACAAGAGACCGGTGAATCACCCCACCCCTCCCCCTCTCGCTCTCCGTTCCGAAAGACGGTGGACCAGTACTTCTACGGCGCCAACAACACCATCGCACACGCAGGAGTGCAGTACATTCTGGACAGCGTCGTGAGCGCTTTGGAGGAGGATCCGGAGAGGAAGTTCGTGTACGCGGAACAGGCCTTCTTGTGGCGGTGGTGGCGGCAACAGGCGAGAGGAGGGTAGACTGATTGTGTGATAGAAGCGACATATGTTAGTTGACGTGTCTCAACACAATCTACACACCATGTGCATCTTTTCACGTTGGTGCTCTCTTTACGCATGATGTTGCTATTGCTCATCATGTTGGTGCTCCTACAGGCCCGCCTTGCGACAACACTCGACAAACAGCACTCGGAGATGCATGAAGCCATCCGCGAGATCCCCCCCAACAAACGTGTGTAATCCCGCTCTTGTTACGACAGGACCGCCACAGAAAAGCGTCCGTGCGGCACCTGGTGTCGCAGGGACGGCTGTCCTTCATCAACGGGGGATGGGTGATGCACGACGAGGCCGCGGCGCATTACGTGGGCATGTTGGACCAGACCCACCTCGGACACTCCTTCCTGAGGGAAGAGTTCGGGGAGGAGGCGTTGCCCAGGGTGGCCTGGCAGATAGACCCCTTCGGNGGGGGGGGGGGGGGGGGGGGGGGGGGGGGGGGGGGGGGGGGGGGGGGGAAGGGGGGGGGGGGTGCGGAAGAGGAATGGGCTATTCCACGCCAAGACAAGTACGTGCAGTGTCATCAGCCCGAGCGTTGGTCTGTCTTACCCGTCCCCAACCTGTGTCACCGTTCGGGGAATTGTTCATTGCGCTGCTGTGTTAGACCGTCGACTGTGTAGCCTAACGCGACACCATTTTGTACTGAGAATGGAAATATCGCCAACGGAGGAGGGGGGGGG